ACTCCAGAGGTACCACAGAGCAGCAAAGCCAGACAGTGACACACACAGTGTCCCATTATTGGGGACGTTCTCCATGGTTATTCCATGAAAAGAAGCTCATGGGACCACTGCTTATAAAAGCACACAGGTTTATTGCATATCAATCTCATGTATAAATTCATTGTAGCATTGGAAAGATTACATTTGGTATACATTCCTATTCTACAGCATTAACCTCAAAATCAGCTTTTTCTATTCATTATTTTAAAGGAATTTCTCTACACAAGTACATTTGTCTTTTATCACAAGCATCAAAATGAAATTTGTAAAATTGCCTTTTTTTTTTTAATTATTTTCTACACTTCATATCTTTTATTTCATTATGCTCCCAACAAAGCGATTCCATATTAATTAATAACTGCCAACACTTTTTCTTTCTTCCTTGGCAGTTCAAGGCTTCGAGCCTCGGACGCAAAATCTAATCACATATACAATAAGTGCATCTACGGAATTTTTTCTTTTTAATAAAAATTTCACAAACGGACACAATAATGACTGCTAAACACAAGTCATGCACAGTTTACTTATAAACATAACAGAAGCAATATACAATCAAGAATGATATGGAACAAGCACCATCCTCTTTCTCAATGTTTTTTAAACATTATATGAAAACCAGACATTTACAATTGATTTAAAAAAACACTATACAGGTCTAAAGGAAAAAAAAAATCCAACCTAAATCATATCTGTATTGTAACAATGGGAAAAGGAATGACATAGGATGCACAGATTTATGATTCTTGCAAGCACAATATATATATGTTTTAAATTACATCTTCTGCAGGCTGGAAATGACATCAGGGCAAAACATCTCTTGCTTTGAAGAGAGCAATGAGAATGTAAAATACACTGAGAATTACTTTCAGAATTACTTTGTTCACATGTGAATTGCACATTTGGAAAATCAAAGCTGCCTTTTTTTTCTTTTTCGTTCTTTTTTTTTTTTTTTTTTTTTTTTTTTTTTTTTTTTTTTTTTTTTTTTTTTTTTTTTTTTTTTTTTTTTTTTTTTTTTTTTTCTTCTTCCAAAGTGGTAATAAGAATTAACAACAGAAGAAAGAGGAAAAAAAGAACCTCGGAATCATTCGAGAACCTTTTAGTCACAGTTTCACTCAACACTACGGAGAAGTTTCATGGCTTTGTGAGAACACTACTGACCACCGGCGAGGAGCAGAAGGGTTTTGCCCTTTGTGCTGCCAGCACTGACCCGAGCCACGCCGCTCCTGCCCTTGGCGACAGCGCTGTCCCCACGGCTCAGGGTCCCCCCAAAAAGGGGCAGGGTCCCCAGCGCTGCCCCCCGCGCCCCGCCACACACACACACACACACAGTACAGCACGTAAAAACCGAGTGGGGATCAGCAGATTGAGCTGGCAGATCGGGGGGCGCGGGGGGCTCACGATCCAGTGCTTCGACGCTCGGCGCCCAACGCGTTCGCCTCATTGTGCGAGCGCGTCCCGAAGGATCCGCCAGGAGCTGCTGCCAAGAGCAGCCTCTGAGTGCCTAAGTGCTGGCTGGGGAGGGGGCAAAAGCTTCCTCTGCACTGTCCCAGGGAGGACAGGAGCCCAGCAGGGTGTTAGTCCCGGAATCGGCTGAGCTCACCCGCTGGGGTTCGTTCAGCCCCGTCTGGGTTTGGCTCCCGCGCATCGACGGCCACGTGGCGCCCGGCGAGGCACAGCCTGCTGGCCTGGGACACCTTGGGAAGGTGCCCAGAGCAGCCCGAGTGCCAAAGGGCACATCCCAGGGAGGAACCCAGCGGCCCACAGGAGAACCGGGTGCCTCGACGTGTCCTGCAGGACCTGGCACCGCAGCACATCCCCTGGGAGAAGCTCAGCTCATCCCACTGGAGAGCTCCCAGCTGTCTGCACCAGCCACAGCAATCACACCAGGACCAGCCTCCAGCTCGGAGCTGGTGGGAAGCAGGGAATGCACAGACACGGGACACACATCCTCCTCCCTGACCAGCTCAGGCAGGAAGGTCCAGCCCTGGCCAAAGCAAGGGCCCTCCATGGAGCACCAACGCTTCAGCCCTGCGCAGCTCCCAGCCCCGCCTGACCAATCCAAAAATCCCCAGGGCTTCTCCTTCTCTCCTCTGTGCTGTTGCAGCTGTGAAAATACTTTAAATAAATAGATCCTACACAAAGCTCTGGGTTTAAACCACACCTGGAGCGGTGCCCTGGCTACCGGCCACACCGCAGCCACTTCCCATCCCTGCCACCCTCACCTGCCCTGGATCCCAGCGTGTCCGTGGGGTTGGACACCACAGCTCTATGTCTCACCAAAGCTCCCAGAGCCTCCCCAGCCCTGGGAAGCCAGCAGTGCTCTGCTAGCAGAGCGTCCTGGGCACAAACCTCTCGGGAAGCAGCCTGGAAAAGGTGAGATTCTCTGCTAAAGCAGCAAAATGGGACCTCCACACCTGCTGTGAGCTGCAGCACGTTCCAAGTGCAATCTGACGAAAGGTAGAGGTTAACAGAAGTTCAGTGAGGCTTCCTGTTTCTTTATCTTAATGGGAAAAATTGAAACTTGTAATCAGTGCTTAATTAGAGGAGTTGGGGATCCTACAACACAAGCTAGAGAAAATGGGGAGCAACTGAATTAGGAAATATGAAAAGAAAAAAAAAAAGGTGATTTTAAACCCTATATTTTTAATGTCCACAATCCCTGGCTGGATAATACCTCTCTATCCTCGGCCAGGGACCCTCAGGAGATCCATGGAGAGCCAGGATGAGCCTGGGGAGGGGGACAGCGACAGTGTAAGCTCAGTCAGAGCAAAGACCTGACCAAGTGCTTCTGGAGAAATGATACAACTGACAGCAGGGCTGAGAGAGGGACGGGGAAACCATAAATACCCCAAATAAATGCCCACAATAACACTTGCATTCCTTAATATTGGCCCACATTTTGGTGTCCAGCTCAGTGCCACTCCCTCAGCTGCTCTGTCACCTCCCCGTGCTGTGGAGGGCGGTGCTGACCTGCCCTGAGGTTTCTTCAAGGGTGAGCAAAGCACGGTCAGAGCACACAAACACTCACTGCTGCCCACAGATCCTGTTCCAGCACAGCAGAGAGATGCTCAGACACGTGGCTTGCTCTGAGCAGCCGCCAGGAGTCACGGAGCTGCAGCTGGAATGGGACAGGATGGATCCATGCCCATGTTTAAGGCTGTTCCCATGTTCTCCTGGAGAAGAGGCACAGCATCTCCACTGGCCTCCTCCTCCTCTTCCTCCTGTGCTGCTCCCAATCACTGGAACCTTCCTCTAATGCCCCAGGAGCTTCAAGGCAAAGGGGAGCCGAGGGATGATTGTCTGGAGGTCAGCAGCACCACTGGCAGCACTGACTGGGCTCATTTGGCACATGGACAAAATCTCCCTGCTCCCTGCTTATCCAACATCCAACCTCATCAGCACGATTTTGGTCCTTCACTAGATACTTATATTAACATGATTTCTTCACAAGAATGATAGCTAATGTAAAAAAAAAAAAAATACTGTTAAGGAAGAAATAAAATAAGAAAGGAATTAGGCCAAAATGACAAGTTATATACAGATTAAAATAAATTCCATCAGGAAAAGAAACAATCCTTTTATTATTTTCAGTTGGCTGGCCCCTGTGGGAATAATTTAAAGGCCAAGTGCCTGGGCAGGGCTGTGCTGCAGCCTGTGGAGTGGGGATGGGATGGGATGGGATGGGATGGGATGGGATGGGATGGGATGGGATGGGATGGGATGGGATGGGATGGGATGGGATGGGATGGGGCTGTCCCTCTCCTCCACAGAGCCGGGATTCCTCCGGCAGGGTCAGCTCTCGGGCTCTGCCTACCCAGGAGCTTTGTGCAAATACGTGAAGCAGCTCGGTCACACCGCCTGGTGCTCTCAGAGCCTTGGGCACTTTCACAGGATGTCGTGGAAAACCAAAAAGGGAAGAGTAAATTTCCTTGGGAAATGCACTTGTCCTGCTAATTTACCTTTTGTTCCCTCTGTACCAAAGCCACCCTGGATGCTTTCCTGTGGGGGCACTCTGAGGCTCCCCAAATTCAGCCTCACATGTGCTCTTGGGTGCAAAGCTGACTTGCAAAGGTGTCACCCACAACTCTGACTCTGCTTTGCTCAGGGAACTTGTTCTGTTGTTTTGGCCTGCTGGAACGAGGCTTCCCACACTAGACTGGCTAGGAACCCTCCATCTGCCCTTCTCCATGGCTTTCCTAACCATTCCAAAAAGGAATGTCATCTCCAAATTCCCCGCTCCACAGAGGAGAACAGCACAAAGCCCACACGATTTGTGGAGGCTGCTGTATATCAGTAGACAAGGTGAGGTTTGGAAGTGCTTGGAAATCACTCATAAAATCTCAATGAGAAATCTTAGAGTCAGAGAGACAGCTGGATTCTGATCTCCGTGCTCTGCACCCCTCAGGCAGCTGGAGCATGGAAATGTTCACCTTTGTACTTAAATCACAGGCCGGGCAGCAGCAGGTAGTGCAGAGGGAAAACCAGGCCAAAACAACGGTGTGAATCAGAGATCTGTGCCAGAGACAGCATCACCAGCAAGGGTGATGTCACCCTGAACCCTGACACACGAGCAGACGTGTCCCAGCTGCCCGGGGCAGGTGAGGCTCGCCCAGCACACGGTTCCTTCCAGCTGGGAAAGGCTTTACCCCACCACCTCTCTGTTGGGCAAATCCAAGAATTTCCAGGAGCTGCACCAGCCTGGCTCTGTCCCAGGCACTCCCAGCCTCGCTGGAACCAGGAGGGGCAGGGAGCCCTGCCAGCCTTGCTCAGGGCACCGCCGACCACCCGTGTCCGTGTGCCACATCTGTCACCCCCACCTCAGCACGTTCCAGGACGGAGAGGTCTCAGCTGGGAGCTGCACGTGGCTCACCATGACTGCAGGCAAGGTGGCCTCACCTTGGAGGAGCTCTGCACTGCACCAGTGTTTGCTGGGAACAAAGGACAGGGTGGTGTTTCGGTGGGAGTGCAGAATTCTTTTGGGGGCGGTGAGTTAAGTGGGTTGAATTTGCCTTTCCCTGGCATAACTCCAGTGGCTGTGTCACAATTGCACTGGGGACAGGCCACACCTGGCTGTCTTCCCTCGGTGCTTCACCATTTCAGCTGGATGGGAAGGAAATGCTGCCCTGTGGTTCCAAGCTGTCGTTCCTGCTCAGGCTGTGCTGGCTCAGTGACACCGGTTTGGAAGGTTGGAGGGGCCAATCTTTGATTGCACTGTTGCAATTCGTGTCTTGCTCATGCTATTCCTACAGGCTGTGAAATCCTGGGGCTGCTTCAGGGTTATCCAGTTTGGGAGAGGTTCATTCTGATAAATTAGAAAGGAGAACTCTAGAGAGATAAAAAAATGCAGGACGTGTAGGTCGGATGTGACAGGTTTCCTTCTCAGCCCAAAGTCCAGACGACTCCCTGAGGCTCTCTCATCCATCTTCTGCTCGCTGGGATTTTGCTGGGATGGCTGCAGCACCACCACCCCTGCCTGGGCTCCGGCCAGTGCCTTGTGGACCTCTCAGAGGTGGTTGATGGGGTTAAAGGTCCCCGACTCTGAAGCTGCTCCTGCCATGTCCAGCCAAGCCCCCAGAGAGTTCTGGGAGGACGTGTGGAGGGGAGCGTTCTCAGACAGGGACAGCATCATTGCATAAGCCTGGGGGAGAGAGGGAGGCAAGGGCACGAGTGAGAACACGGGATGGAGGAGCTCTGTGTGTAAAACACAGCACCACCCAACCCTGCCCACCTGGGCCAGCAGCGTCCTGTGTGCTGGGCTAAACTCACATCCACGCTCTGGGATGGCACCCACCTCTGAAAAAACCAGATTTGTCATGCTTTATAGGGACAGTCAGGAGACACCATCATTCCCACTGGTTTTCACAGGATCAAACCCATCCTGCACTGCCTGTGCTCACTCACAAACCTCTACATGATTCCAGGCTCTGCTCCCAGGGGAAAGCAGCTCTTACTGGAAATTGTTATTAAAAAAATCACATCCCCAGGCATCAGCGAGGCTGGGCTGGGGCAGCAGTGCCCTGGGAATGGGGCAGCAGTGCCCAGTGGGAAGTGGTGAGCAGCTGCTCATCCTGACTCAATGCCTGGCATGGCCTCACTGGCGATGCCAGTGTGGATATTTGGGGATGTGGAACTCTCACGGGCATCAACAGTGTGGTCAGGGTGGGTTTAGTGCTGCAGTGAGACCCTTAAAGGTGTCTGCTGAGAGAAATGCAGCCAGACTTGTTTGTCCTCTAACAAACTGCTGGTTCCTTGTAACCTGGGCTGCTGTCCCCCACCAGGACACAGGATTTGACCCACACATCTCTCTGTGCCTTTTCTCAGCCCACACAAGTGATCTGAGGGCTTAGGCAGATGAGAACCTCACACAGCAGAGGGGAAAACCAATGTCATTGTCACCTGAAAAAGAGGAGAACATGGTCCCCACCCTCCCCACCCCCCTGGCCCAGGGAAGAGATAGAGTTTTGTGGTTTTGTGGACACACACACTTCTAAAATTTCTTAAAACTAAGCCAAAGGACTCACACAAAGGCTTTATATTACCTGCCAAAAGATGGGTCAAATTATTTAACTTGCTTATTGTGATTCAAGTGAAAAACAGGGTCAAAAACCAAAAATACCTTCCCCCATCCAAGCACAGGCTGTACCAGGGTGGTGCATCGGAAAAGAGCAAGCTGTTCCCAAAGAGTTAGTGCATTTGGGATGTTAGTGACAGGACACAGGGAAGAGTCAGGCAAGTGGCTTGTGTTTAAATGGGTGTCACCCCAAAAAACTGCTGTGCTCTCTCTTCCAGCAGCCCCTCGCCAGCCTCACTACTGGCACACACTATGAAGGAGGAAAAAAATTTCCCAAGTTTTGGATGATTCTAATTTAAAAATCATGTTCTGCATGGTGGCTGCACTAAGCTACTGCTCTGCTGGACATCTGAAATAGATTTTGGGATAAATTCTGTTGCTTTAGGGTCAGAAAGGGCCCTTGAGGTGAGAGCTGAACTCATCCCCCAGCATGGGCTGAGTGTCCTCTCTCCAGCCCAGCCTGCTGAGGTAAGTTCACTGAACAGTTTTTCTGTGAGGATCCTCGTGGAGGGATCAAGAGATCAACTCCATTAACCCAGACTGGGTATTTTGGCAAATGAAAAAGCAGAAAGCACACACAGACCTGCCCCAAACCTCCAGATTTCTCTCAGAACTCCAGTATTTCTGAGATGCCATTCTGATGGTTGTGGTGGGTCGAAACTGGTCTGGCTCACAGGGTTGGGATTTTTCTTTTCCATTTTCTGGTTCACTTTTAGAAATTAAGGAGATAAACAAGGATACCCTCTAGACATGCTGGCTTGCAAGTCCTGGATGTATCATTGTCTTTCACACCTCTTTTATCAAACCCAAGGGCCCTTTGTTGCTGTTTCTGCAGACCAAACCTCAGTGGTTACCAACAGAAGAGACACCCCAAAGTGTAAAAAAATAAGGAGTTATAAAAACATGTATACAAACAGATAAAAACACACAAATGCCTCTCTCTCACTGCACAGGCTGAGAGAAATCCATCTAAAGGTGATGCCCACTCCCTTCCTCTTCTATTTTAATTTAGTTGCAACAAGATACATTCATGTGTGTGCTAGAATTCCTGCTGGAAAGCCAGAATAACCTTCTGGAAGGGGAAAATAACCCACTAGAAAGGGAAAATAACCCTTGGCTGGAGGAGGCCAGCTGCTGCCTATTCCTGCTGTACACACTGGTGGCAAGCTAAGAAAACGTTCTGGATATACCCACCTGGTTTTTAGCCTGCCTGTACAGAGTCTGTTTTATTGCCTCAGAGTCTAAGGTGGAATTAAACACATCTTTAACTTCAAATGCTTCCTCGGCTGCTTTGCGGAGATCCAGCCCCTTCCCAAAATTCGGCATCTGCTCCAAATCTAACAGGCCGGCTTCGTCCTCCTCAATACACCTGTACCAATGACCAGGGGTGACCTGTGTTAGCTCGTCTGGCCCACAGCCTGCATGCACCACCCACGGGGGCTCGCCAGCCACATGCGTGAAGGGACGGACAGACGGACACACAGACACGGCATGGGATGGCAGGAGTGAGGAAGAAGTGGAAAGCAACGAGCAGCAGGTTCTGTCTGAGGTTCTGCCTCACCAAGCCAGCGGTGTTTTTAAGCTGGGCAAGGCATCATTTGATGTTTTATGACTTGTGCTGTGAATACCCCCAGAAATTGGGGCAGGATGCAGCAAAAAGAGAGCTGAGCCTGGGCTGTGTGCAGCAATCTTTCATTTTGAAGGTGTTCACACATGGCTTGACCTTGGGGGGAAAAAATCCTTCACTTTTTATAGAACAATGGAATCTGGTTTGGGTTGGGAGGGACCTTAAAGAGTGTCTCATTTCACCCTCTGCCATGGGCTGTCCCATGGTGCTCCAAGCCCTGTCCAACCTGGCCTTGGACACTTGCAGGGATGAGGCAGCCACAGCTTCTCTGGGCAGCCCGTGCCAGGGCCTCACCACCCTCACAGAGAAGGATTTTCCTTGAAGATCAAATCTACATCTCTCCTCTTTCAGTTTAAATCCACTCCTCCTTGTCCTGTCACTCCAGGCCCTTGGAAAGAGTCTCCCTCTATATTTCCAGTAGCTTCCTTCAGGCACTGGAAGGTCACCTTGGAGCCTCCTCTCCTGCAGGCTGAGCAATCCCAGTTCCCTCAGGCTTTCCTCCCAGCAGAGCTGCTCCATCCCTCTGATCATCCTGGGGCCTCCTCTGGACTCTGCAGGAGCTCCAGGTCCTCCCTGTGCTGGGACCCCAGGGCTGGAGGCAGCTCTGCAGGTGGGGCCTCACCTGGGCAGGGCAGAGAGGCAGAATCCCCTTTTTGCCAGAATATTTTCCTTTTTCCTCCAAAATATTCCTTTTGCCAGGAATATTTTGCTCCAGCTCAAAGGGCCATAGCAGCACCAGCATTGCACAGACGCCTCTCTCTTCCCTTGCCCTGACCAGAGTTTTGGAGAGAAAAACAACAAATGCTGAGCTGTGGTACCCTGAAAACTCCGGGTTTTTGGTGTCTGTTCCCCTGCTCCAGACTCCTCAAGCCTTGGATATCATTCCAGCCTCTCCTTGCAGTCCACTTGTCCGGTGTCCCCCGCCCCAGGGTGAAATGGAATCTGGAGTGAGCGTTTGGGTCCAACCGGAGGCATGGCACGGCTTGGAGAACAACCCCAGGGCACTCACCATGCACCGCGGGCACGGGCAGGGCGCTGAGCCCCCGGGAACGGCCCCCTCACCTTCGGCTGTGCTCAAAGCTCATGGTGAGAGATGTGGGCTCCTCATCCTCCTCGTCCTCGAACGCTCCCCGGGGCTCCGCCGCGGGCGACGCCGTCTCGTCCTGCGACTTCCCGGTCAGGCTGTCATCGTCTTCCTCTTCCAGTTCTTCGTCCTCATCGTCCACATCTTCTGCCTTCTCGTTCGCCAACCCGTGGCACTGGGAATTGCCGTCAATATCCTGGATTTCTGGCCTGAAATGTTGTGTTGGAGGGCAAGCAGGAGGAGAAGAAGAAAGAAAAGGGGAAAAAAAAGATGGGAAATGTTTAAGTCATGTATTCCCACTGGAATACAAGATTTTGATAATGTTATATACACAGAAATAAACACATTTATATGCACGTACATATTATTTAAAACGTAACAAAGAAGAAAACCAATGTGCTTCAGGCATTTAAAAATTACCCTTCACTGTTCCTAAGGGCCAATACGCATGTTGAGAATGCACCAACCCCAAAGCTTTTTGAACTACAAAAATTAATTTAAATGCTGTTTTTTTCATCTCTTAAAATTAACATTTGTGAGACAAGCAGCCTTCCTCCTTCTCTGGGGTCTGTCCTCCAACAATTTCCCTTCAAGCAAACAGCAAGAGGAAGCTTCCACCATCCAGCCTGAATTCCCTCTTGTATTACTCTGCAGATAATTTTATTTCCTTGCCTACCTTTTATCTGCTAAAGCCGACGCTTGATTCATCTCGCTATTGGCAATAAAATTTCTGATTTCTGAGAAATAGGAATCCTCTTTTTCATCTAAAAGTGCATGGTTGTCTGATTCCGAGGTGGGGGAAGAGGCGCTGGTCCCGAGGTGGTTGGTGATGACTCCGGAGTGCTGGCTCACTGTGGGGCAGGAGAGACAACAGGAGATTCCATCAGGTGTTGGCAAGGCCAAGGTTGTGAGGAAACAGAAAGCAAGAATGTTCTCAGCAGCCCTCTCACTTTATATTGATGATTTAATACTCAGGAGGAAAGTCATGGAGCAAAGATCCCAAAGGAAGCTTGTGTTTTCCAGGCCAAAATGCAGGTGATATTTAGCACTTATGGACAATACACACAATTTAACAACCATTGCAGAGCTGTTTGCATACATCTTTTCCATAATACACTTTTTTTATGCATGCTAGGAAATCACTTCCTTGGCTTCATCACAGCAATTCCTCCCTTTCATTATTTTATGTTAAAACAAAACCTATTTATCTTCTTGAACTTCCCAAAAAACCCTACGAACAACCCTAAAAACTCATCCTGAGGGGGGGAGTGCATTCCAAGGAGGCTTCCCAAGGGCAAGGCCATGGAGTCTGCTCTCTCCAGTGGTCCCAGAGGGTTTCCCCACCTGGAACGTTCTCGTGCTCGTGCTTCTTGAGGTGCCTGTCGAGGTTGGTCTGCTGCCCGAAGCACCTGTTGCACAGGTGGCACTTGAATGGCTTCTCCTTGTTGTGGATGTTCCTGACGTGCCGCTGCAGGTTAAAAAAAAAAAAAAAAAAACTGTCACAGTATTTAAAAAAAAAAAAAAAAAAAAAAAAAAAAAAAGTGCAGTGTGAGGGGAAAAAAAAAAAAAAAAAAAAAAAAAAAAAA